AGGAGGTTGCAAAAGCCAAGGTGGTTGGGAGACATAAACAATATATCGTATATCACAATGAAACTCACTGTCAGCTAGCATCATAGGAAGAATGTGTTTTTTTGGTGGCCATCTTGTAGTTGACAACCACATGTGGGCATGCACACAGGAAGGTGACTCCACTATGGAAGCAATGAAAGACCTGGCATCTGAAGTCACTGCGGCCGTACAGCGATTTACTACCTTTTTTGGGAAAGTCAGCGTGAAGTAGTAGTGCGTGTTAAAGCCCAATGCCTGTGACACCTTCTCTTTCAATGGATGTGTCTTAGCAGGGCAGGACTTGTGACACTTCTTTGGGGTCGACAGTGGCTGCCGCATCCAAGGGTTTGGGAGTTGTTCGATGTCTTCAGAAAAAATCACAACAATCTCAGTCCCCTTTGAAACCAAACGAATTCCATCATATTCCATCATTCCATCCCCAAGGGTGCCTTACCACACTGTCTAATGTTGTAGGTGCTGGGTAGATCGACCATGCTGTTTTCACAGCGTTCCAGCAGTGGGTAGAAGAACACTGCACGCAAACATCAGGTGCAAAAGACTGAAATCGAAATCAGTGTTCATGAAACATAATATGATATTTGTGCAACTTTGTGCATATACATGCATATGCATGGTATTCAATTGGATCCCATCCCACGCAGGATATGAACAAGAAGAGTTTGTTCTACAAGATGCTGTTCAAGATGTGAGCAGTGGTGCATCTTGCCAGCAATGCTGGGTTTATATATGCATAGTTAGAATTAGTCTTTCGACTGCTGAATACCTACTATACTCTGATATTAATATACCTTGCAATAGCAGCATACTATATTAATATCCTGTTGCCACGATCCACTCCCTTCTGAATGGCTGCCAGGTATCTTCAGCTCAAAGGGCAACGCAGCGAGTGAGATCGCATGTGAAGGAACCTAGCATGCAAGCTTGTGGCGCGATCACTCTCTTGGTCAAGGGTGATGGATTGCCCTGCTTTGGGTCCCCTCCTATGTTCTTTCCCACCAATCCATTGCAAAGGTTTCTACCCAGGTTTAGTGGGAGATGTGCACTGATATGCCCAGGAGAGTGGAATCGCAGCCCACGCTGGAAGCCAGCACTTGGGGCGGAAGTCTGGACACAATGACTCGCGTGACTTTTGGCGCTTCACTGATATTCCGGTAGTGCCATTTATCAATTACTGTGATGTATATTTGGCTGCTACAGTAGATGTGCTTTCCACCTCTGTGAATTGATTTCTTTTGGGAATAATTGACACCCCTTTATTAAATTTAATGTTGGGAGAAAAAATCTGAGGCAATGCGGGAAGTGTCTGTCCCAGTGAAGGATATCAAAGCACCTGGAAAATTCAGGCATGAAAAACAGTTGATGCTCTATCCTCACGATATCATTGCCTATGTGTTCAATGTTGCAAAACTGGAGATTGAACAGCAACGAGTGGACGACTATTGGAACCACCACCTGGCTTGCAGATCGCCCTTTGCCAGTGAAGACTCGAAAGGAAAAATTCCTTTGGGGTTATACGGGGACAAGGCACAGCTCCAGACCAAATATCGAGTGGAGTCCATATTCTGCTTATTCTTGAGCTTTCCCTTATTCAGACCTCGTTCCATTAGATACTCTCGCTTCTTGCTTTGGTCTTGCGATGTGGCACTGCTGTACAAATCACGTACAGTGAACACAATTCTTCGGAAACTAGCGTGGAGCTTCAATTATTTAGCCACTGGCCGTTATCCAACTTCCGGCCCTGGTGGTGTTGCACTCTCGCGAGTGGATCAGAATCGCGCTGGAAGTCAAGTTACTCTTCAATTTCACAAATTTCAGGTGACGGAGTACAGAGGTGATTGGGAACATCACAAAAGCCTGTGGCAGCTGACTTGCAGCTGGAATGGCATTGAAACATGCCACAGGTGCACAGCCAGGTCTAAAGGAAACGCGGGTCTTCTATACTGGAACCTGGATCAGAACGCTCGATGGCGGTCTGAGGAGTTTGACACCAATGACTTCATTAACAATCGGTTGCCGGAGTCTCATATTTGTCTCTTGGTGGGGGTTTAGGATGTTTTAGGGTTTCCATCCACCAATGAACAGCACTTGGGTGAACCTAGCCCAGAACTAGGAGTCTAACGCATGTGGGCATAGCAAACCTTGCAAGGCCCCCTGATCAATGTGCATGCATTCCATCCATCGTGCATACGGTGGTGCACGATGCACATCCTTAATCTGGGTTTGGTCTTTGGATTGAACGGAGGTGCACTGTGCCTTGAACAAATTTAGCACTGTTCCGAAATCCTGACCGCCGAGCCTTCGCAACCGGCTGCATTTGGAGATGAGCTCCAGGACAAAGTGTTGGTGCCCTGGATTTTTTATATCTATCATTGGCCCGTGGATAATACTATAATAGCTGGATAAAAAAGTTTGGTGTTGGGAAAAATCCAGGGCACCTGCTTCCTGGCTGGTGGATGCGTCATGACTTGTGACTGGAAGCTTCAGGGGAACACCAACTACACCCCCATGAAGTCCAACCACGATTGTTATGTACAGGCCGGTTCCCATATAACAACGATTTTCATGAATCACGAAAACAATGTTGTGTATCACGGCAAAAGGCATCACCATAGTGCACCCTTTTTATGCAGCGTTCGAGGTGTCTCCTAGCAGAGCGGGTGGGGCATTTTGGACCTGGGAGCTTCCAGGATCAACTGGACCGCGCATATAAAGACTTTGTTGCGTATTGCCGGCGGCACCGTCTTCACCACAGCCAGCCACCATTCAAAGAAAAACACGTGTCTTTTTTGCATTGGCAAAAAACACTATGAGGAGTCCTTTGTATCGAAGTGTGGGGCGGTAGAGGAAAAACTATGGTAGACACACAGCCCTGCCCCCTGTTTGGAAGTTGCCCTCAGAGAAAGGTCAAAATGAAAACTGGTGAGATCTTATTGCTGGCAAAAGCATGGAATGGCAGAGTTCTCGTTGATTGGCTCGCCTCTACATTGAGGGAGGTTGCGCCCAATCATCCAGGATTTGATGGTGGGATCCTTGAAACGGCGTGTGTTGCCCTGCAACTCAGCGATATTTTAAGACTTTGCTTTTTGTTTTCAACAACATCCTTTAACACATGTTAACATCATGTTTGGATAATCTGATTTCCGTTTTGGATCCACCCATCCAATCCTCTACACTGTGCCAGCAAGGACGTCCATGGCTCGAGTGTTTTGGATGCTAGAGATGAACGGTCGATATCTGACGATTGGCTGGTCAAATACATGTGTTGTTTGTTTTTGTACTGGTTTTATGTTTTTTCCTCAGAAGGTTTTTGTACATATAACACTGAGATGGTGCTGTCACATCTAGGAGTGCAGAGACTGCTGAAGAGATATATCAAGAAGGACTGCTTTTCCTACAAACCTTTGAAGCTCTTGGCCATCTGTCAGTCTGCCAACGCCGGCTTGAGTTTCTACTCAAGCCCAAGGTTCACGCCCCTAGGCCTCTTTGTTCACTGTCCTTGTACATAGCAGGGGAACTGGGGGAGTGATCAAGCTGAGGCTTTCCTACACGTCCTCATTGATTTGCGTCGATGGAGTGTCTTGCATGCTTGCAGTGATTGCACCTTGTTCAACACCTCGATTAGTAGATCCTGCCATCATGATTTTTCTCAGGAGAAAACCCTCGATATTTCCATTGTTTTGCTGATGAAGATGCCATGAAGTGGGCAAAAGGCAATCCGACTGAACTAGGGTTATGTGGCAAAATGGATTACAGGCACAGTTATGCATACGTTCTTGAGCATCTGCAGGCACTACCCGATTTGCATTTGCTAAGAAGAAGAGCCGGTGGCTGTTGAGGTGTCAGAAATTGAGGCACTCTGCAATAGTTGTTGTCTGTGAACTGGCCCCTAGTTTAAACATAATTTGGTGATGTGAGGCTCAAGTCGATGAAGTGGAAAATCAAAGAGCGCCTCAGAAGTGATACATGTAGTGTTGACAGCTATTCAACATGTGTTGTTCATGGGTGGGCCCAACCAAGGTTGATGAAAACGGCCAACCGGTGATTGGCGGAAGCAGCATGAGAAAAAAGGAACGATGGTGCCTGGAGAGCGTGAATGACCGTGATTCACAACCTTCGTTTCGTGATTCATGAAAATAGTGGTTATGGGAACCGTTATTGAAATAATAGTGGTTGGACTTCCAGGGTATATATACACACAAGTTTCACAATACTGACTGACGCGGCTCCACAAGAAGAGAAACACCAAAAAGGCATTGTCCGATGACCGTTTTGACCCGTGAACTCCCAATATCTCGTGGACTCCCGACTAAGTTGTTCCTCAATTGTAACGTGCAACCAGTCAAAAAACTCACCGGCATAGACCCCAGATAGCTAAAAAACAAAAGCGCCTGAAACAACGAATCCCATGAAAACTTCCAATGACGGTGAGTGAGTCCAACAGCACCTTTCCGTGTGGTTCCACAAATCTGGTCATCTTCTCAGAAGTGGGAAGACATGTAAGGAAACCAGTGGAAAAACACGTAGGGAGACAAGTTAGGAGACAAGACAGCATCGGCAAACAAAACGCTAGTCACAAGTCGCAAGCAAATACGTGGGGGGGATAGGGAGACAAGTTGGGAGACACATAAGGAAACAAAGCAACAGTGGCAAAGAAGCCGATGGCCACACAGGCAAACAAGTAGGCTTGTCTAGGGAGACAAGCGCTGAAGCAAGTGGGAGACAAGGCAGCAGCGAATGGGTTGAGCAAAACGCCGATCAGCCACTGAAAAGTAAGGGCCCCTATATAGCCTACAGCTTTCAGAAGGCGGAGGAGGAGGCGGGCAAACAACACAGGCAAACAAGTGGGGAGACACCCCCTCCTTTCATCGCCCCCCCCTCCTTTCAAACGCCAAATAACACCCATTTCATCCAATGGTCCAATGGTCCAATTCGACACCCCAGCGTTTCACCGCGAGGCTGGCCTTTTGTGGCAAGCTCCTTGCTGACGTAGTGGATGTCTGCGAGCTGGTCGGAAGACGTCTCAGGTGGACAGCTCTGTGAGCGAACCTGACGTCTCTTGAGACGGTCGGTCACCGACGTGCCCAGCACGGCCATGGCGCGGAGTCCATCCTCTCTTGTTCGGGCCGACATGGAATGTGACACTCCATGGGACTGGCAGAAAAGCCGATCAATTAGGGTGGTTGTTTCAGGAGTCAATGGGGCGACAGTCCTATGGCAGTCCCATGGAGTGTTTGGGATTTGGTTGGCTCGACCGGTCGACCGTTGTCCCGGTCCTTGGGTCGTTGGACGAACGGTCACGGCTTTCAAGCTGCTGCGGGGAAATCCTGATGTTTGGACGGTCTCAACTCTTTGTGGCAAGGAAAAAGGTAATGGGATATATTCGGGAATTATTTGGGCTGTGCATCTTTTGTGGCGCTCTCTGGCGTACTCAGGTGACGTGGCAGGTGCAGTGAATCGTGGACCTATGGGGACTGGTATGGGGACCCATGGGGTTTGATCGTGTGACTCCTTTTGGAGCTGGGTCAAACAAACAAGAGCGGCTTCTCTTAGGTGAACTGTTCCTCCACGCGACATCAGACGAACACCACAGGCGCGCCAGCTTGAACCAAGGCGGACCACCTGAGAATCTCAGAGGACTCTTCCCAGCAAGCTTTTTGACTCAAGACTTCGGAACAAAAAACAGAAACGCTATGAAACGCTCAAAAAAAAAACTTTTGTGACAGCAAAGGAACTGTTGGAGGATTTTGGAGGTCCCCCTCCGTGACGTCGATGAAGGTGGAACGATACCTGTGACGTCACGCAGTCATGTGGGAGATGTTCCGGCAAGACCGGATGGATGTTGATCGTCTGATTCTGTGGAAGATGGGGTTTCAACTTCAGCATCTTTTCTTTATCGCTTGGCAGCTTGCTGCTTCTCTCTCTTTCTGTCTGTACTTTGTATCTGAAAAAAAACACGTTTTGGTTCAGTAGTAGGGCCAGTAGTAGGGAGCACTAATTACGTGCGTTATCTTTTGACCCAGCATCACTGCGTATCTGATGCAAACAAAATATACCATCTATATAAAGATAGCCATGTTGTTCATATACATGGTTACATCCTTTATGTGCTTGAAAGCCAGGCAGCGCACTCGCTGTCCTTTTTTCCAATTACAACTGTCCCCATGACCAAGAACTGAAGTATGGTGGATTCTTGAGAGATGATAGAGATGCATGCCCACATGTTCAAAAGACCCTCACCTACGCCACAAATCGGACTCCACATCTGGCACCGGTCCCCAAGCTCGGCCCAGCTGCGAAAGCTCAAAGACGTTCAGAGCCGAGCTCTTCATCCTCAACCGACAGATGTGCTTCGACGAACAGTTCACCCCCACTAACGATCGGGGGACGGTCAACCGATCAGAAACTTGTGTGGTTTGAGGAGTCAAGGAGGCATTCCCGCTTCCTGGCCCGCCATTAATTTAATAGGCTGAATCCCGAACCACCATTGTTTTTGCAAACAGTTTGCACTACAAAACCAGGTCGTTCAAATTTTTGTCATGGTCCAATGGAAGTCCAGGGCATATAAATACCAATAAATACCAATAATAATGGAGTAACTCGGAAAGGCTCCAAAGAAATCCGTGAATGGCAGTGTGGAGCGGAAATGCTCTCGCCAGTTCGAGTTTGGAAGGGACGGCGCGACGAAGCGCTTCTCCTTGGCATGTACCATTGACGTCCGGACTGTTACGAAGTGATCAATGATGATCATATAATTTATATATATGCCAATTCACCATTGATTCTCGGGGTCTCAATGGGTCTCTATTGTTCTGTTTCGTTGTATTTTTGATATTGACAATGTTGCGCGCTAGGTATAGTGCTTCATTCCATTACCTCACTTCTCCTGTCATGTCATGCAAGACCAAATCTGTCCAGATACACTTAAATCCTAGTCTTCCTAGCATTTCCATGTTGACTTGAACGAACCAAAGTGACTCCAAGTCGATATTCTGCACAACCGGCCAAACATGTCCTCACTTCCATGTTCCGCCAATTCTATCTAAAAGAAATGGAACAACTACGTTCCGACCACCCCACCCCAGCTCTTCTACTGTATCTTGGCCCCCCCTCCTGGTGTTCCCTCTGAACTTACGTCCAAAGGTGGCCAAGGGAACGGCCGTGACCTGCGAAATATAACTACTCCCCCCTACACTTTAAACACACGCTCGAGCCCAAATGAGCAAAACGACGCCGCGTTTCGTTCGTTCGTTCGCAGGGGCAAACGCTGGACCCAGTGACGAGGCATTGGTCAGTCGACCCAGAAAGCCAAAAGGGATGGTTTCGACTAGAAGTCAGGCTGGAACCAGGTGGGGCGACCCACGCCGATTTTGGTCAAATGGTCAAATCCTCATATATCCAGCAAATGCTGGAATGAATCGCTCAATTCAAATTCTACTAATTATCGTGGAATGGGGAAGACTTGTAAATACTCAAAGAGCTTACAACAAGCTGGAAGCAATCGCGTGTCTGCAAAAAGGTGAGTCAAAACACACAAATCATGTGCGAAGATTGTTTTTCATGATATACCACGGCTTGAAGACATGCTTTGACCCAAGAATAACGAATCACGTTTTGACATGAATCGTGCCTGTTTTTGGCCCTCCCTCGGCCTCCCAGTGTCTAAAAAACCGGTTCCACCGCTCATCACAGCCCAGAGCGGTTCTCTCCGACCTACGGCTTCGCTCATCACAGCCCCCGGTGCCAATGAGATCGCTCACCAATGACAATGGACCTGGCGCCGCTGGTTTTTCAAACGGCCAGGGCCGGAGGCTCTCCGACCGTTCTTTTGGTTTCCGAGAAGCAGTTTTAGATCTGCTTACTTAGTGAGTGGTGAAATATGTTCCAAAGGCGTTCCATGCGCTGATTCACTGTCTTTCGGGGTGATGTCTGGAAGTAGGAAGCTTAGACATGTCAAGGTACACCATCCTTGTCGCTATCATGGACTCTGCACCGCTCTCACCCCTTTGTGATTCTCAACGACCTGTGAAAATATCCCTGTGGAGGCCCAATGCCAAGGAGGACTGTGCAGTCCATGCCTTCGCAAAAAACTACGGGGAAAAAATATATTTATACTGCAATTATCTAGTCTATATATATATATATTATATAGATATGATAATTATGGGAATGTGTCCCAACTGTTGCCACTCATCCCACCGGCCATTTGCTGATGTTTTCGTCTTAACAGTTTCGGGGTTCGCTCCTTTGTGGTCCCTGGGTCTTGTTCGCTCGTGTGTAGGCCCGGAATTCACCAAGCTGCAGTCCCCGCCTGACTCAGCACTATCCTGCCACATGGCGCTGGTGCTCAATTAGCGCATCATCAGGGAAACTCTGATCTCTTCAGGAAATCTCAAGAAATCTCAAGAACCTCTGTGCATCCTGGAGCCCTTGTGGTTCTTCCGTGATGAAGGATCCTGTTTCTGAAACAGAGCTGACCCATGGCATGAAAATAAGGCACAAACTCCCATCACGGGAGGCTTCAACGGCTTCAATGATCGTCTCAGATTTGTGTATCCGTGTGTGTGTGTGTGTGTCTGTATCCCGCTGAAAAACGAGCACATCGCCACTCCATCGGCATCGATGGACCCGTTGGGGAACTCTCGTTGTTTCATCCATGCTTTGTCCCAAAAGAATGCCAAACCGCAAGTGCCAACACCTGTCAGCCTACCACCAACAATACGATCCACGTGTCATCGGTGCTCCGTGTCTGGCCTGGTCTGGGCCGAGCACTGGCCTCAAAACAGGAGATTCATGAACCATGAAGCCTTCCACGTGGGGCGTTGAACCCCTAGCACCCCCCAACAAAAGAAGCTGTTGGGCAGGATCCGACAAAAAGCTGAAGTGAGCCTGGAGTTGAGGCTTGTAGGATCTTGTGACCCAGCTCACCAGCATGTGCTTTTCTTCGTTGAACTTACCTAACTAAAGAATCTAAAGACGATATTGTTGTGGTTTAAGTGTGTGATGTCGCCAAGGAAGTAGTCAAATTAAACCTGATAGTCCTGGTCATGTGATTGCAACTGCCATGGACCTATATATATAGACTTCTCGGAGAAGATGCTTTCCATGGCCTAAGACTCGCATGATCGCAGGTAAAGCCAGCCAAACAAAACCAGTACTGCACTTGTTGTGGAGGTGCCTGACAGTCAAAGTACTTGATACCATCACCCTTTTTGCCACATGTTCCTCCGTGTCCTCTTTGTTTGGATGTGATAAAGACCTGCGCAGCTGGTGACAAGGGCCCCCCTCCCTCAAGAGATCCATGTGGATACTTACCAATGACACGGATGCGAGGTTCTTCTCCTCCCAATTGCTCAATGGCGTTCAGCCGGGGAACGTTCTTAAAGCCCCAACCACCGACCTGCTGTGCCGCCCACGAGCTTCGTCTGCGGGTGGACGGTATCAATGAAATTAAAGCAAAAAAAGTAAAATTCAGATCACCCAGTACTTGACCTTTCGGACCGCATTGGTGAACTCCATATCCCTCCGATAAATACTGCACCCTCTTGAGCAGGGACAAATCATTTGCCAACACAACAAACCATCACAAACCAACGTGAACCATGACAGAGAACCCTGCTCCAAATCTCTGAGGCCCTCGCGGCGACTGTGCCGTGCGATCTGAAAGCTGCGGAAATTGAAGACACCATCGGTTCTCGTATGGGGTTCTTGTGATGACGAAGCAACCTATGATGACGGTCACGGAATGACCAAATATATAACAAGGAGACTAATGACAAGTGGGTAGTCACCTGAGCATCTTGTGTGTGCCTGCAGTCTGTCCGACGTAAACCACGTACGAACCAATATTTAACTATATGTATTATGATTCTATTATGTCTATATAAAATATATATATACACAAGATGACACCAGCTTCACATGAAAGCAACAATCAGTAATGATCGTCCGTTCTGATGGTCCCCCGAATCTGCTACTCAATCTCCCCAGCTGGGGTGAGACTTGGAGACTCTGGCCCTCACAGGGAGAGGCACGAAGGAGTCCGAAGGATCAACATACAGAACTGTCCACTAAGGCCAAGCCACCATGGTTTGGTGGGACTGACCGGCATAGAAAATGGATGGGTGTTCAACAGCACCAAAAGGGCAACAAAAAAGGAACCTGGAAAGAGATCCATCCAAAACGCTGAAGCTTTTACAAAAGCCGTGATACACCTACGTGCTCTCTGAAGAACGAAGAAGCCTTACAGACTGGCTCACCTGACTAAACTGATTCAGCGTTTAAGCCTTCTTATTCAAGTGACTATGATAACTATAGTACAATCTAGATCGTAAGTCGTAACAGCTCAATCCACGTGGCACATGGTCATCTCTACCATTCCCCACCTGCCAGCTCCATAATCTGCTTCCACTCTGGAGAGCTTCGAGTCACCAGCGGCGCAATCCTGCAGAGTGACACTGGGAGTGACGATATCGCCGGATCCCATGCAGAATGAAGGAATCCCAAATCTCATGCAAAGATCTTCCAACATCTCTGTCCAACTGGGCTGGAAGAAAGCATGGAACAGCAGTTTCACGTTTGCACCATTGTAAGATCGAGGTCTGAGATCAATGCCTCGCTTCTCACCATCTGAAAACTGGGCATCCCCACACCCAAGCAGGGCCCACACCAAAGTAGCCGAGCAGCGCCTCGGCTGCGTGCCGCTTCGAAGCGTGGAATACGCTCCCTGCAGCGTTTCGATTGATCAAGGAATTCTATTCTGGACAAAGACTGGACCAGAAAGTCAATGGATCAGGCTTGCAAAGTTCTTGGACGAGCTTGGGCCTCTCACAAACAGCCAGATCAGATTGTCAAGTTGATTTTCCTAAAAGGTATCCCTAGTGGGCCTAATGGGAACACTCTGTATATAAGTAAACATGATTAAAACCTCCGGAAGAACTGAATACAAAGCCGATTTAAACTTCTGTGGGCTGGGTTCCCCCTCCCCAAAAAACAGCATCCAGCCCAGGTTTGGCGTCGTTTTTCTATTTCCGCGGTAACCAGCCCCAGGCAAGGTGGTCAATGACACCTGATTCAGCTCATCTTCAGTCGAAGAGGCGGGCACCCTGAATCTGTCACCTGGGTGTCACATCCCCAGGCAGTGGTCACCGGAGGTCTCATTTTGCCGTATAATCCGTATAACATGCCCCCCCAAAGTTAAAAAAATGCATCATTAATTGAACAACAGCAAGAAATAATCAACACATGAAAAAACAATAACAACTCCAACTTGGAACTCCTGTGATTTGATCTCCATTTTGCTAGGTCCTTAATTTCCCTTTGTGGGGGGGTGTCGATGGGTTGTTCCACCCGGTCCACGAATGGGAACACTGAGGGGCCCAAACTCCTGAGAGCGCGCCCAGCACGATGAACCTCTGCCCGGCGCTTCGTCGGAGAGGAACGGCCGACCCAGGGATTGCTTTGGTTCCATGGCGGTGGCGGTTCCATTCACGCAAGGCTTTGGACCAAAAGCAGGTTGTTTTCTCTTACTAGGTGCAGGTCAGTTGGTTTTGCAAACCGCCGGGGTCCACAACTGAGGAAAAAAGGTCCAAAACACTTATTGTACGTATACATATTACAAAATTAATCAACATTTTACAACATGTGAGATTCCAAACACGACACGACAAGCACCACCCAGGTTTGACTTCCGCATCCAGGCTACTTCCTCACCCTCGCTGTCAAAGCCTGGCCTGGGCAGTTTCTCCAAGGGTGTACTGCTATAGACCAAGTCCAGCCTCCGTGAAGAGCCAAGCCGGCCGAGGCAGTGCTAGGACAGGTCCATCTTTTTGACCGTGGAAGGACGCCGCATCCAGTTGTTTTTCGTATCCTTCAGCTCCGTGCACTCTCCGAATCGCCTAACGTGTTTCGATTCATACAATTCCAACCAAGTCCATGGTGGGATGCTTGTCACAACAACAAGTCCATGGTGTTTCCCTCCATGCATCTCCATACATCCCATCACGGTCGCACGCCCTCTCGCCCTCGTCCGCCTGGCGACCTCTTGCGCCGTGCGCGGCAAGTTGCCGGGCCCCAGGGTGGGTCCTTTCGGGGAGAGGCCGCTGGAAAACGGACACTGATTGCGAAGGAACATGTGTTTTCTGTTTACTGCCTTGCCAGCTACCCTGATAAGATACAGACACCTTGATCTATCCCTTTTGTTAATCATTGACTTTAA